TTGCATCTAGATTCGACACATTTTCCATGTACACATATATAACACACAATTCATATGTATTTATATGTATAAACAACAATGCTGAAATTCTTACATATATGCCACCTCATATAAATGCATGAAAAATTGTTTAAATGATGATACTTTTTATGTGACAAGAAAGATTGGGGTTGCGAAAGTATAAAAAATAAATTTTAGGTTTGGGCGGTATCTATTTAAATGCCCATTTATTTTACCATGTATTACTGCATCATTAATTATAATTTTTTTATAAGAAAGATGCGTATTATAAGCATAGTAAAGAGCATTATTAATCATTCATCTATTTGTTTCTTAAGGCATCCTTATTCTATTCAACATGCTTATCTAAAGAACATTCAAAAGATATTCAAGAAAGAAGATTAAAAAATTGAACAAATCTAAACTACATCAAAATTTGTTTTGAGGATGGATATGATGAGGTAAGGAAATTGAGCACTCAAATGAGACATCTTAAGATTATTATTTCACTTCAAATTATTCTCTTACGCATTTTAATTACTTCAGATCCCATTTTTGCTATAAAGATTTTCATTCACCTCAAGCTTTCCTTATGGCTTTCAAGTGAAATTTTAACATTTATTTTCATGCATAGTTTTATGATATATATATATATATATCAGAAATGGTTAGAGGGTATTATGCAAGCCTCCGACAACTCCTAATGTGTCATTCGAGTGCCACCTCTTTAAGGTCAATTGTGTCAGAGATGATTCTAACTCCCGACCTGAGCGTTAAGTTTATTTAAAAAATAATTTTCATGAAAAAATTTATTATTCTGCAATTATCATAATTATGTCATGTGGGAGTGGATTTTATATCAAAAATAATTTTGATAAAAAACTAAACCCTCTACCATTATCATAATATTTAATTTCTCACTATTTTAGAAAAAAAAAACTATAAAAAAAATTAATTACTTTACTTGCAATCATCAAAAATATAAGATTTACACTCATATCACTCAATTTTTATGTGCTTATATATTTAACAACTAAATTTAAAATTTAAGATGTATTTTTTAAAAAATATTTAAATGATAATATTTTTGTGTGATACAATAGATTTGGGTTGTATAAAGATAATATGCATATTAAAATTATTAGATATAGAGGAACATGTTAAAATAATCTTTGACTATTTATGCGGACTTGTTTTAGTCTCAGAGTTTATAGAGAAAGTGTCATTTTAAAGAGAGGGAGGGAGAGCAGAGAAAGTGTTATTTTAACTCTTTTAACAGTTGTCCTATAAAGGAGGAAGAAGCCCCTCTTACATCAACTTTCTCCTCTTATATAGGTGTGGTTTCTCAATATATTATGTGTAAACTTTCTCCTCTTAAATATGTATTCATCAAAATGACTAGAGATTAATCATTTGAAAGTACTAACATTGAGGGAAATGTTATTATAGATATATTATAGAGAATGTGAGGAAATAGTAGAACACTATATACAACAATACAAATTCTAGAATATTATTAAATATAATGGCTTGAAAATTGAAATTATTAGTAATGAAAAATGATCTTTTTCGTTCATCAAACAAAAATATTTAAATATTAGTTTAAAGTTTTGTCATAAAAAGTTATATTTAACATTTATTTATTATTAAAGACATAATGTGAAAATATATCATTTATAAAAAATTAATACATTTTACCTATTGTATCCATAAATTATCCACATAGTTTTTTGTACAATTATCAATTTGAAAAATTATATAAACTTGATAAGATTTGAAAATTTTACAAAAATAAAAAAAATTAAGTTTATAAGCATGGATCCTAAAGCATCACATTTTGTTCTATAATCTTTCCAATTTTTTTGTGTTTGAATAAATGGGACCTAATTTTAACAAGTGATATTCAAAATAACTATCTCATCTCTACAATTCTAATTAATGAAAAATGTATGATTTTTTTATATAAGATTGTACTATTATATATACCAACTTATTCAATTTAATTTATGTAAGGTGTTTACTAATCCATCTTTTATTGATTTAGATAATGTACGTAGATTGTAAGCCCTAGAAATGTGGTGATTGCCATTTGATATGCCCCTTAATCTTTCCAAGATGTGAGTAATTGCCTTATGTAATTAAACAATGATGGCATATATGACACACAATTTTTCAAAAAGTTAATATTGCCTATATTGATGATTGATTTACAAGGCATTCAGGTCTTTTATTCGTTATTGATATTCCGCCTCAAATGACTATTATTATGTAGCCATTTTTCAATGGTCCAAATATATTCTCAAAGCGCTTTTGGAACTAACTCAAATCATATAAATTAAACTCTAATTTATGAACTTTTTGAAGTGTTTGATTGCTTATGCGAAGATATTTATTTGAGCAAGAGGTTACAATCTGTCATTGTTATTTACTAGAAACAATAGCTATGTTCTGACGCATTATCAAGATTGTTTCAGATGACCTTCCTGTGAATTTAGATTCTTCAACACTACTAGATTTATTGAGAGCTCCATAATAATTTGATATATTCACTAGATGAATACATCTCTTAGGGAATTCAACTAATTGTAGTGACCATTGAGCTACCCAATGGCCTCTATTTGGCCACCACCTTTTACTATGTTTGATGAAAGTCATTTTAGCTACTTTAGATAGCAATATTGTTTTTTTAAAAAATTTTCTTAACAAGAATGAGATTATGACCATCTAATTTGAGCATCAATTCAATTGATGGAAAAAAATAACTGTTTTATTTATTGAGTATCAAAATTATAATGCAATTTTTTTTAAATTTTCAAAGCTTCAATTATTTTTTAAAATATAAATTGATTGGCTTACTTTGTCATCCCATCCCTCTTTCATCACAAGAATGATAATATTGACTACTTCTTTTTCTTGGAAAAAGATAGGGCCACACCCAGCTTTGCATCAAAGTAAATTAAGAGTTAAAACTCTCATTGACTCAAATTACAATTCACCCATAGAAAAATACCAACTATAACACCAAAATTATAAACCCCAACACACAAGAGATACATGACAACAACCCAAAATAAACAAAAAAAAAAGAAAAAGGAATAGCAAGAACATAACAAAGACAACAATGAACAATCAACAACTATGGAAAAGAAACTGACACAAAATACATCTAAAATCATCAACATCAAGAAGAGCAGCCACTTAGAATCAGGGAGAGAGCACAAGAATGAAATAACCAAACAAATTCATCATCAAAGATGAAAGAATTTGCCCATCCAACAGAAAGTACTCACCAAATTTGCAGAAAAACCAGCCAAGATAGAACCACAATGAAAAACATAAGAATAAACTACTAATGAAAATCAGATGATCCATAAACTACGAACAATATAACCAAAATAAAAGAAAATAAACAACCAACACCAGATAACAAAAGAAAGGCAAAAAGAGCAATCAAGCAGCACCAAGAGCAACGGACCAGCTCAACTGTGGTAAAACATAGAAAGGTTCTAAAAAATTATAAAATAGAGTTCAAAACATACTTTCATGATAACATTAAAATTCCATCCAAATTTTAGAATATGTTAAAATCAAGAAGATTTTAAAAAAATGGTTAAATTTTAATAAATGGTTGGAATTCATCAAAGCTCAAACCTGCCTCAGCAGAATGACAAAGTGAAGGACAAGAATAATTTTCTAAAAAGAAGAAGAAATCCCTAAAACAACAAAACATGATGAAGAGCAACCACCAAAAACATAAATATTAACATTAAATAACCCTAAAGGTAAAAAAAAATTACCAACAACATTGAGAAGGAGAAAAAGAAAATAAAAACAAAGAAGAGAAAATATACTCCAATCAGAGTGGAAAAGAAAAACAAAAAATATCTCTGATACTTTCTTGGATATTGATAATCGACAATTCAAGGATATCAACAACTCAAAAAATTGGGTTGAGGAATATAGATGATAAACTCAGGTTGACAATTATAAAAAACGCTTCAAAGAAAAATTGTTGGAAAAGAAATAAAAAAATGAGAAAATTAGAATGGGAAAGATAAACAATAATTCTTGGATGTTGGCAACATTAGAAATCAAGTGAAATAATTTTTATTTCATTCTTCGATGTCTCCAATAAAGACTATTTATAAAGGGCTAGAGTACTAATTTTATTAACTAATTATCTCATAACCTAAAATAAGATATTGTGTAGTATCCTACCACTCTCCATTAATTGAGATATAAAATCTATCTAAAACCTCAACCTATTATTCCTTCTCAATTATTATGGAGCAACTTTTAATTTACATCATTCATTGTCATCCAACCCTTCTCATTGATTAAAACCTATGTCCTCCGGATTTCTTCAATGTCGAGCACCTACTTCACCAACATTATATTAGTTTCTTTCCTTTTATGGTATAAATATTTAAATTATTGTACCCACACCTCCATCTCCGATACTGTGAGGATGCACCTTTGTGATATCTGATTTTCGCAGAAGGCCACACTTTTAAAATTTCTATCTGCAAATGAAAATTTCTCATAGTAATAAGCCAATACATAGCTTGTTATCATCTGAATAATCAAGCATGATTGTTTGGTCCTACCAGTCAGATATATCATTTTTTTAATAACCAAATACCGACTTATCTCTCCTATCATGTGTGTTGTGAATTTCATTCAAGAAAACATTTTTAACTGAAGTCCTGAGAGTGAAAGGGCAGTTTGAACCTGCGTTTACCAAAAATCAAAATAAAAAAAGTGCTTGGAGCTCTGGATCAAAAAGAAGAGTTTAATAAATATTTTTAAAAAAAATACAATTTTTATTAAAAAATAAACATAAAGACCAAATCAGAACTCATTCAACCAAAAATAATAATGGCAAGTGTTATTTTATAGTTAAAAAAAAAAGACTTTTTTAATAATTTTTACAAGAGAGTATATCAGATAGTATCTTTCATAAACTCGCTATCAAGATGCAAAATTTCTCTCCGGTGCCATATTTTTCGATAGAAGCCAGACAGGCACGGTGACCATAGGGCCCCATCCACCGCCCACACGCGCGGTGTCGTATTATCATACCATCAATCAATTAATCCAGAGAAACACCCAGAACCGAACCACTCTCTCCCTCCCTGTAATCAATTTCTTCCTTTGACCTAACCCTTCTCCAACCCCTAAATCCCCTCCCATCCCATCCCCGCTCATCTTCTTCCCCTCTCCTAATACTGCAACCACAAATCCCCCCCAACCTTAGCGCAGGAACATAGGAGGAGAACCAAATAGGAGCTTGTTTGATTCATCTGCAACGAACAACACGAAGACGAACAGTATGTACGACAAGCTGCTCCCCCTTCCCTTCTTTCCCAGCCTGTAAAAAGGCAAAAAGGCAAGCCAGCCAGACAGCCCGCCGTTTTCCTTTTCCTCTCCACTCTAAAATCACTTCCTTTATTTCCTTACGGCGTCTTTAAACCTCAAAGCCTAGAAAAAAAAAAGAAATCGACTGATCGATCCATAGCTTCGAATAATGGATCCGGTCACCGCTTCCCCTCACGGCCACCACCTCCCTCCACCCTTCCACCACCGCGACTTCTCCCTCCCCTTTCACCAGCAACTGATCCACCACGCAGCCGCGCCACACCTGAACACACATCAACCCAAATCGGAAGACCCGTTTTGCACAACTCCCACCTTGATCAACAAACCCAACAACGACGAACAATCCAACCCCGACACAAATACTACGGACAGCGAACTAACCCGCCGCCCCCGCGGCCGCCCAACCGGCTCTAAAAATAAGCCGAAGCCAATAATCATCACCCAAGATAGCCCCAACGCTCTTCGCTCCCACGTGATGGAAATCTCCGCCGGCTGCGATGTTGCCGAAAGCCTTTCTACTTTTGCCGCCCGCCGCCAGCGCGGCGTCTGCATCCTCAGTGCTTGCGGAGCGGTGATCAACGTTACCTTACGCCAGCCCGGTTCATCAGCCTCCGTGGTTACTCTCCAAGGCCGGTTTGAGATACTATCCCTCTCGGGATCCTTTCTCCCTGCGCCGGCCCCGCCGGAAGCTTCGGGACTAGCCGCGTACCTCTCCGGGGGACAGGGGCAGGTGGTCGGAGGGAGTGTGGTTGGTGCGTTGATTGCGTCGGGGCCTGTGGTTGTGATGGCGGCTTCGTTTGGGAACGCGGCGTACGAAAGGCTGCCGCTTGAGGAAGAGGAAGGGGGGGTCGGGTCGCCTGGGGTGGCGGAACAGATGCTGGAAACTAGTGGAGTTCCGGCGCAGCTTTTTCATGCGATGCAGCCGAATCTTCTGAATAACGTGCAGGTGTCGAGCGAGGCGTACGGGTGGGCAAACGGCGGGCGGACTCCGTTTTAATTTGCTTTCTATTTCTTTCTTTGTTTTTTTGGTTTAATTACTTGATGCTTTGTTTTGTTTTTTTGTTTTTTTTTTTTTGTAAGATGATAATTATGGATTGGCACCCGTTCAAGGGGAATGTATAAATTGATCTATGAGTTGTTGGGAAAGGTGGGTTCTTTTGCTTTCTGCGCGGCTAGCTGCAGAAGGAAAGTGACAGAAAGGTTGAAGAGAATGGAAGAAAATGATTGGATTTTCTTCTTTGTTTGCTTTTTCAGTACTTCAGTTTCTGTTATAAAATGCGGAAAGTAAGAAAGCTGCAGAGAGCTAGCTGGAGATGAAAGCTGGAGAAAGTCGGTTTGGTTGGAAGGGGAAAGGGAGGGAAGGTAGGATAAAGATGGAATTGATGTACTTGAGTGGCTTGAGTTGCGATCTGTTGAAGGATGATGATTCTTCATCCGCTTCTTCGTACTGAAGGGTTTATCCGTCCTGAGCATTACCAAGCTCTATTTCTGTGAAAATTTACTCTTTTTTGGGATAATCATAGGCTATCGCGGGAATCTTTGACTTTTGTTTTTTTTTTGCTTTACTCGGAAAATAGTAGTCTTGTTATTATGTTATGATTATCTGTTGTTGACTATATATATTTATAGATATATATTTGTATGTATGTATGTATGTATTGGCTTGCAGCATTCTTCTGTTTGGAATTCTGCGTGGTAGAGGCAAGATAAATCGCTATTAAGAAGAAGCGATGTAGGGCAAGTGCATTCATTTACGCAGATTAAAAACCAAAAGAAAAAAAAAAGAAAAAGGTGTTTAGATAGTCCGATGTACGTTGCATTTTGGAGAGTTTTAGAAGTTTTACTTTTAAGAGCTTTATTGCTTTACGCAGATTAAAAAGCAAAAAAAAAAAAAAAAAAAAAAAAAAGATAAACATGATTACAGTCTAGATAGTCCGATGTACGTTGCATTTTGTAGAGTTTTAGAAGTTTTACTTTTAAGAGCTTTATTGTGTTGAATAGGTAGTGATGGATTGTAGAATATTATATTTAAATTTATTATAAAATATGTTAGTTGAATTCATGAAATTAAATTATTTGTATTTATAAATAAAAAGAATTACATACATATCACTGAAATTTTTATGTATTTGTCTCTAATACCTAAAATTCAATTTTTGCGTATATGATGTTCTAGCTGTGCATTAAAAAAAAATAGTAAAGTGTATTTCAATTTTTAAAAGTTAAAATGTTAATATTTTTTATGTGATAAAAAATATTTAGATACTATAAATAAAAAAAGCTAAAGTTTGGTTTTATATATATATATAGACACGTATACCCGAATAAAGTTTATTCGGGTGAGCAAAAGCATTGAGAGAATTATGACATCACGAATTGTGGGGAGCTATATAACCATATATCCTCAATGAATGTTAGAGTGTCAGATGTCCTTGGTGAGGATAAGCAGCTTATCATGAAACGCATAAACTGCCCCAAACGGACCCTAATAAAGTCAACCGATCACTCGAAAAAATCTTCAACACTCCCAAACGCAGAAATTGCAGGTCCTTGGTGAGTTCTGCGTTTAGTGTAAAAACTCAAACGCAGTTTCGGATAAGCTGGCGAAACGCGCGAACCAAACGGTGTAGCAGAGTTTTGAAAACGCCTTCTGCACTTATAAGCTACCCCAAACGGACCCTTAGTGAGCACAATGAATAGCTTTAAATTAGGGGTGAACAAGTTATTTGAAATTCGTTTGATTTGAATGAACTTCAAATTCATATATACATATAAATTGTTGTACATTTAAATTATTTAACAGGTGTATCGAATTTATTTTATACTGTGTCAAATACTTAAGAAATTAAAGGTTATGTTTTTTACAACATGATATACAATATACACGTGCAAGAGAAAAAATAACAAAATTATAAGATATTCTCTATATTTTACATGATTCAAATCTAACAATTATATACTATAATTATATAAAATGCATTTAGGGAATATAACCTTTTATAAGAAGAATTCTGGTAGAAGCTAGGAAAAATGGCTTTATATTTCCCCCTCCTCTATATCGAGTTATGTTTCATTTGGAATCCCTTAAGCCAATTTATTTATATGTCTATTTAACCAAGTGAATATCGAGTTATGTTTCATTTGGAATCCCTTGAGCCAATTTATTTATATGTCTATTTAACCAAGTGAAGTACAAGCGTTTTGACTGTTATCTTGTAAAATATAAATAATGATTTGATTAAAAAAAATAAAATTTATGCAAAAATCATTGTATTCTTTGTAAAACTGAAACTAGGATTTCTAATTGTATTTATAGTACATCTATCTATTTTGATTAAGGGTGTAAATGAGTCTAGTCGAGCTCGACTTACCTGTGACTTGAGGTTGAGCTTGATTAATTTAATTGAGTTTCAGTTCAAGCTTCAGCCCGAGCATAATTCTATCATTTTGCGCCGGGTCACGAGCGAGCTTGTTTAACATGAAAGAGAGAAAAGTTACAAACTCAAGCTAGTGTTATTATTAAATGACAAATAGAAAGAGTACTTAGGATATAATTAATAAGAAATCATTTGATATTAAATTTAAAATAATAGTCTTTAAATATTTTTAATAATTTAAGGAAATTTTTTGGAATTTTAAAATATTTAAAGTATATTTTTAATAGTTATTTTTTAAAAGAGCTGACTGCCTAATTAACCAGCTAAGTCGCGGTTGGCTTGAGCTTAGCTTGATAGCTTATCGAGCTCTGTTCACAAGCCACTTATCGAGTCGAGCCTGAACTGACTCATGAGTCAGCTGGACTCACTTACACCCCTGGATCAAGTCACCCTCCCGCAAAAATCTATATTAAAAAGATTGGTGTAGATTAAGGGTGTAAACGGGTTGAGCCGAGCTTGAGCCACTCCTGGCTTGAGCTTAAGTTTGATTAATTTTATCGAATTCGAAGTCGAGCTTGACTTCAATTCTAAGAGTTCGAGCAGGCTAACGGGCTGGCTTGTTCATTAAAAAAGAGAGAAAATAAGATTAATATAAGGTAATGTTATAATAAAATGATAAATAAAGTAACAATTAGGAGAATAGTAATAAAAAAAAAACTACTAAATATAAAATACAAAATATATTTTTGAAAAAATTGTTTATACTTTAAAGATAATGTCTTCATCTTTAATATATTGTGTGTAAATTTTTTATCAATTATTTTTTAAACAAACTAGCTCACAACCTAACGAGTCGAGTTAGGGGTAGCTTGAGTTTGGCTTGTTAGCTCATCAAACTTAGTTCACGATTCACTTATCGAGCCAAGCTCGAACCAACTCATTAGTCGGTTGGACACACTTACACTCTGATGGAGTAACCACGGATGTCTATATATATATATAGCCTTGGCCTACTGGTGGCGGGGTCACTGTAAGTCTTTTCGGGTCAAGAGTTCGATCCCACCGTGGTGCGGGAGTTCTGAAATTTTAGGCGCATGGCGCAGGCTCTCATTCTGAGGCCAAAAAGTGCATGTGAAATCGATATTTGGGCCTCTACCAAAAATCGATTTTCTTTTGAAGATATATGAAGATATATATATATATATATATAAGCTGAGAAATTTTAAATTAAACTTAAAAGGAAATTTTGATATACATACCATAGAATTTTTATATATTCACATATATTAAACATCAAAACATTAAAATTTTCATTTATAACATTTCAGCCTCATCTATAATACTTTTTACTTCGGAACACTTTAATACATTTTAATACACATCTTCCTATTTTGTGGTCGGCTTGCTATATGACATTTATTTTTTATCCTTTTTCTCTATATATACATATCTAAAATACTTTTTATTTGTTCAAGTTTAAGTTTTAATAATTTTTAGGGTGTGTTTTACATTATATCTTTTATGTTTATTACAAACGCCCATAGTATCTCTGGGGCGTGTTTTTAAGTTCGGTGTGCTTTTATAATCTTATGAGAGGTCAAACACTCCTTAACTTAGTCTATTTAATTGAGTTGTTATCAATTTTAAGTTTGGTTCAGCTTAACTCAGGTTAGCCCGAATTAGCTTGAGTTGATCTAGGTTGGCCTAGGTTGGATTGATTTAGGCTAGCCCAGGCTAGGTTGGGTTTACCAAAGTTAGCTTAAGTTTGATTTGGGTTAGCTCAGGTTAGGTCGGGTTGGCTTAAGTTTGATTTAGGCTTGCCCAAATTAGGTCGGGCAGACCCAGGTTTGTTTTTAGTTTGATTTGAGTTTGCTCGGGTTATGTCAAGTTGACCCAGATTTGTTTTAAGTTTGATTTAGATTAGCCCAAGTTAGACCAGATTGACCCAGGTTGGTTTAAGTTTGAGTTGAGTTGAGTCGGACTGAGTTAAGTTAATAATTTGGTTAACTTAGGTCTAAGCTAAGTTAAACTTGAACAACTAATTTTAGGTTTAGTTAAATCAAGTCTAAGTTAAGTTACACTTGAACTAAGTTTAGGTTTACTTAAACTCAAGTCTAAGTTAGGTTAGACTTGAACTCGGTTTAGATTTTGGTTAAGTCGGTTGAGGCCTATGGTGAGTTTAAAGTTAGTTTTAGGTTTAGGTCAAAGTTGGGTTAGACCTAAGTTAAAATTTAAGTTAAGTTTAGGATTTGATTAAGTCAATTCTAAGTTCGGTTAGAATTGAGTTGAGTTTAAATTAAGTTAGGTTTAAGTTGGTTTAGCCCTAAGTTAAATCTTAAGCCTTAAATGTTAAGATTAAAGTTTTAGCTGAGTTAGGTCCTACGTATGTCAGACCTAAGATAAGTTTGAAATTTGAGTTAAGTTGGGTTATGTCTAAGTTGGGTTAGACCTAGGTTAAGTTTAGAGTTTGAGTTGAGTTGAATTAGATCTAAGTTGGGTTAGGCCTAAATTAGGCTTTAAGTTCGGCTATGAAGGTAATTTCATAATTAAAGGGATAATTGTGAGATTAACCACCTTAGCTTAATAATTTTATGAACTATTTTTATTAGGAGATAATCCTAAGATTTTCTGAGTTGATTTTGATGTTTAT